TTTCTCACATAAAAAATACATTTTATTTTACTAGGATATCGTTTATTTTCTTAATAAACTTGTAAATATAATTAAACATATTTAGTTCAATTTATTTTTCATTTCATATTTATAAATACTTATTTTTGCACATATAAAATTTTATATTTTATTACAATATTATTTATTATTTTTATACAAGAAAATATATAAATTGATGCATATAAAAACTTTATTTTCCTTTTAAAATAATAATTAGGGTTAAACCCCTTTCAAAAAATTAATTCTTTTTCCTTATATTTTTAGGTTTAGATGAAATTTTCTTTTACATGAAAAGACACCAAAAAAATATTTTCTTACATGTACATTGCATTACATTTTAAATATTGTATTGTATTTATTCTAATTCGTACAAATTCAATTTGATTGTAATAATTTATTTAGGTTTATATTTTTGCAAATTCCCATTCAAATTTGTACTCCCCCCTCTCATAAATTGTTGTAATAGCTTAGAAATATTTACATTACGCAATTTATCGCTTTATATGCCATGATTAGTAATTAATGTTTGTATGATAAGAACAAAACAAGCAAAATAGAAAATCCTAAATACAAGACAAAATCAAAGCATGAAAATGACACACTTGCACACAAGCACCCTTAGGGTTTCTCCACTTGGTTGCCTAAAACAAAAATGGTCATGTTACGCATGCGAAGTATCTTGGCAAAATATATAAATATAAAGATCATAGTCTCTCGATGACGCTATTCAAATGTTGCCTTACAAAAATGATTTTGGTCCCTCAAAAATGCTAAGATACTTTACAAACATTGCTAATCATGGTTATACGATGACCCACGTCCGTCCCGTTTACATCCAAAGATAGGATTGTTTACCAAATCAATGGTAAGACAACAATGTCAAAGGAATAGAAAATACATAAGAAAGACATTTGAGTAGTTAGATAGCTTTTAGTTACTTGCTCTATTTCAAACAACAATCCTTGTTATTTTCAAAACAAACACAAACATTTCAAAACATCTTACAATCATTGAAAACATTTTCAAAAGACAAACATCTTTGTATACATTCTTACGAACGAGAATCATTACAAAGATTGCATAAACGAATGGCCTCTTTTACAAAATACTTTCAAAACCACACCAAACACAATTGCAAACAAACAAAAGCAAGTGATATAAGCAAGTAACTAAGAGCCCATGGAAAACCATGGATGAAAAAGGTGCTAACACCTTCCCTTTTCATAATCTACCCCCCGAACTCAAGAAAACATCTCAAAGGTCTTTCTTGTGCTTTTTCACCTTTCCTTTTGGATAAAAGAAAAGTCGGTGGCAACTCTTGTTAACCGCAACATTTGCAATAAAACGCAAAACAATCAAGTCAATTCTTCCACTGCATCACAGGTTGGTTCTTCTTGAAACACGATGCCTTGATTCTCTCTTATCAATGTAGGTTGTGGTTGTTGAGTTGGTTCTCTGGGTGCACCAAAGAAATATGCAAGGAGCCTAATTTATGCTGCCATTTGTTGGTTTGCTTGGGCATTCTGCAAGTTCGTCTGTGTGGTGCTTTGGATTAAAGGGTTAAAAATTGTACTCATTTGTTGGGCGAGTACTCCCACCATTTCATGGTTACTATCATCCATCTTTTGCCTTAAGACTGCTTGTGTATTTTTAGTAATAGGAGGCAATTGAGCAACATATCCTGGCTGCGAATTATTTCGTGCCATATGGTTTACCCCTGAACCTAATCCTTATAATGGCGAAAAGGCAGATGTTAAAGGACGTGTATATGTCGAAGTGTTATTTTGAAGTCCTGCCATGAACGAAGTTAGCATGCCATATATTGGATCTGATGTTGGGATTGTGAACTCTGGTGCATATGTTCTAGAGACACTGCCTACTGAAGGTCGAGGGGTTACGGGTGGAATTTAACTGACCACAAACATTATAATAGGTTCATTTTTGTGTTTAATAATATGGCTGAAGCATTTGTATTTGGGGGTATGATTGTAGAATTTATAATCGAGGGGATAATCGCAGTCCCTTGACTTGTTGTCATGGCTTCGATTGTATTCGAAGCACTCGTATTTCCTCTTGTGGGAGGAGGAACTTATTGTGCATCGCTAACGGGTGGGTTAGCCATTTTCCTATTGTATTGCCTTTTTGGTCTAGGATCTGTGGTATTGGCTAATTTTCCACTTCTTAATCTCATGCAACAAAACAAGTTAGGAAACACAGATTATCTAAAAAAACTAAATACTAGACACAGAGTCCCACTGGGTGTGCCAATTTATTTACCCTAGAATTTGGTAAACAATCACTGATCCTCTAAATCCTTTAACAGATTCAGTTACTCACGAGATCGATCAGATTGATCTCAGGACTATTGTGTTCAATTATTTAGAAAGCATGTTTTGATGATAATCTCTTTAAACAAAAGGAATCACTTCGCACGCCGAAGTGAAACTTCTTTATAAAAGTGCTGAAATATAAACTAGTCTAGACTGGGAATTGTAAAGAACGTAAATAACGTAAAGGAACTTCATCGAATGTAAATGACATTGAATATAAAATATGTTGCATCATACGTACATTCTTGTTAACTCTTTTCTCTAACACTGGTACTTTGAGTATTTTGAGTATTTTGTACAAAGATGTGAACACACTAAATCGAAACACAAAAGCTACAATTTATAGAACTTCGACCCTAACGGTCTCCTAACAAACTAATGCCACGGTTCCACTGGCATGTCTTTGACAATCCAAGAGATTCCACGCGTCCTTCTGGATAAGAATGAATATTCGAATTCAAACCCTTCGCTATCCGTCTTGAGCGCCAAAACCAATAAAATCTAATAACGCTCGAAGTATAAAGTCTTAAACCATGTTTTGAATAATAACTTTATTTCACAATTCGAATTATAAACTATCCATCAATCTCTTAACGAATTTTAAACTCGAATCTTCATGGCTTTTAACAAACAAAATAGCCAAACAATTCTCTAAGTATATTCAGACTATTGACTCGGCTCAATTTCTCCTTAGTCGAAATTTCCAGCCAACAGGGGGTCAGTTATATTAAGGGAAGGTATTAGCATCCTAAGCATCAATGGTACTCCGCAGGATCCACTTTGTTTGTCTTCTTTTAAAAGGTGTGTTATCTAAAGGCTTACTTGCTAAAGGTAATGAATGAATGAGTATTTGCAAACAAAAGAAAATGTTTTTTTTATTATTTTTACTCGCATTGGGTCGTAAGACTTAGTACCTACATACTCCCCCGTGCAATGGGAAAGTCAGAGCATTGTAGTTCGGCTAGAAAAGACCTGTTTGTTGGTTGATTTTAAATGAAGAGACAAGTCGTCATTTTAAGGAGAGAAATCTCAACTAACGCCCACAAGGTGCGACAAAGATGGACCATACGTCAGCATGAGTGAGGGTTTGAGAATACCTCTAGTACTCAAGTGGAAAAGTTAACACCTTTATAACCATGGGGAAAGGAGAATGTTGCTCGACTATAAATGAATCATGTTTAATCTTGGAAAAAGTTTTAAAGGAGAAAAGGTGCTCGAGCGCTCAAAAGGGTTTGAATGAGTTGAAGTGTTTTTGTTAATTTTGAAAAATGTCAAAGTATGATTAAATGAATTGAAGTTTGTTTAAAGAAAATAAGTTTTAAAATAAAAGGCACTCGACAAAGTCGAGGTTTATTATGAAAGTAGTTTGAGTTTATAAATAAAGAAGATTTTGAAAAAGATGAGAAGGTTTTGAAAATTAAAGAATGGGAGAAGATGAGTAGAGTATCCTATGTACAGAGGGTAAAAGATAAGGTAAAGAAGATCTGACCGATAAAGGAACCAGTACTTGACATGATAGAGTCAATATTGTGTTCCCATCCCTTTGAGTTTAAAGCCACAGACAGATAAATAAGCCAAGAGTATACTAAACCTCAGGTGAAAATAAACCACAAGCAGACAACATCAAAGAAACCCAAACGTCAGATAACTCAAAGCATCAGATAAAGTGCGTCAAGTGAAAATAAATCACAAGCCAAGACAGTGCATCAGGTAAGCTCAAAGTGACAGATAAGAATCCATGTATCAGATAAAATTTCGAACAAACAGACAACTCTAGGATAACAGAGAAATAATCCAAAAATCTCATGTGAACAAAAAACTCAAGCCAAAGTGGGTTAGAAACATGTATCAAAACTAAATGAATGAATAAAGTATGAAGTAAATATTTAATTAATTAATAAAAAATTGATAAAACTAATTTAATTAAGTTAATAAAAATTAATTAACAAAACTAATTAATTTTTAAATAACTAAATTAGCTAACTAATATCAATATTCGATTAATTAATTAAAAGTATCAAAGTGCAAAAGATGAAATCAAATAATCGAAACAAAACAATTAAGCAATTAAATGATTAACATATAAAATAATTAATTAAATTAGATAAAAATATTTACTAAAACTAATTGATCAATATTAGTTAGAGTAAATAAAATCATGTAACAAAATTAATTAACAATTAAAACTAACAAAAATAAAACAAAATTATTAAAAACAAATGAAAAGAGTTTAGAAACAGTAAAACATGGGGGTATGAGATAGTAATCCGGAATGGGCTTAAGTGAAAGGTATACAGCAGAATTTCGTTGGGCTTGCAGGATTGGGGCGGAATTATTGGTGTTTGGCCCAACAACTTTCTTTTTATCCAGCAAATAAAACTTCATCTCTCTCAATGAACAACACCATCACCTCATCATCTTATGTTTCTTCTCTTACTGTTTCAATCCGTATGATAATAAAAAAACCATGATTTTCTATCGATTTACAACATAGAACAATAACAACAAAATTACAGCATAGTAAATATAAACAACATTATGGCATAACATGCATACTTGTAAGAAAAGAAGGACTCACACGGTCGGAGCCAGTTTGACGATTTCGATGCCAACAAAGGTAGGACAGAAAACTAGAGGTAATAATACTCTTTAACTCTCTCTAAATCTTCTGAGAAATACTGGAAAAATGCATGGTTGTTGGAATTTCGGTGAATTGTAGGGTGATTTAAGTTGGAGCTGGAAAATAGTGCTGAAGTTGTTGTGATTCTTGATGCTCTGGAAATTGCAGATTCTGAAAATTATGTTGAAGCTTGACGGGGGGAAGTTCTTCAAATAATCTTGACAACATCCCTTTTTTCTTCTTCTAAAATTTTCTTCCCTTTCTGTGATCTGAAGAGTTGATTTTATAGTGAAGGTTTTTGAGGATGGATCCATGTGAATGAGTTTGGGTGATTCCCAATCTTAGATAGCAATTGGAATGGAAGGTGTGGATTAAGAGTTTTATGTTTCTTTGAAGAGGAAAGAAAAGTAGGGGGCAAAGTGGGTGGCCCGCTCTGTTTAGACTCGTCCGTACAAAAGCGGGACGGACAAACTTAGACATCCGAGCTCAAAAGTCAAGTCCGTTCTGTTTACTAATGAGTTGGCAAGGTTGGTGGGCCGACCTGCTAAATTTTTTAGTTTTTTTATTTTACAATTTAATTTATTATATAATTTACAAAAATTATAATCATTACTAAAGAAGCCGATAAAAGATATTTTTTTAACAACGCATAATATAACTTCAACATGTCTTAAGTCCAAACACTTAAAAAAACAGATAAAGACTAATTTCAAAAAAAACATACCGAAATAAATTCTAGCACGATAAAAAAATGTATCAAAATAAATAAATAAGCAACACATATTATCATAATCCTATTTAAAAACTAATTACTAAAAGAATCCAATTGATAATTTGCACAAGACAAACAATGATAACAATGCGGTGCATAAAATATCAGAATACATAAAATAGTAGTGTATAAAATATTAAGATCTGACTTTCTCATTGTTTACGTTATATAGACTATTATATTGATTGATTTATTAATAGTTATATTTTAAATTTGTCACACATATACTCTAATCGAATTCTTCATTTTCTTAAAATTAACATTTGTTTCTAAAGAAAACATCTGAACTAATATATTGACAACTTAATAATTCTTCATGCCATATAATTGTTATTGTATTTAAGTTTTTCCAACCAATACATGTATTAAAAAATTATATAAAAAACCTTACAATTATAACTCAATTTGTCTGTATAATAATTTAAAATGTAGTTCAATCACCATAACTCAAAGAGAATACTATTATTTTATAGTTAAAATTGTCTTAATTCTAAATAAAAAGTAAAAAGTTGTAACAAAAAGCCTACGGGCAAAACACGTCCCGCCCCGCCTAAACCTGTCTTTTAAAGCTGATTAGGCGGAGTGGGCCAACTTAAGGTACCGAGCCGAAAATCTTAGCCCAAATCGCCAAAAATGATGGATCAAACGGGTTGGCCCGACGGACCCGACCAATTTTGTCACCCCTAAAGAAAAGTGTGAAGCATTTTGTAATGAAATAGTAGGAATTTTGAATTTGAAATTTGGTTAAAATTAATTTACTGACTTTTGTGAAATATCATCGTGAACTTGTTTTTGGTGTATAGAAATAATAGATGAGCTTGTGTTTGGGTCCCACCTAATTTTTATTAATTCCACCTATTTATTTGGACATAAAAGAAAAAGAAATAATACTAGGAATAATAATAAAGATAAAGAAATTGGTTAGCAATTAAAAATAAAATAAAATCTAAAATTACAAAAAAATAAACCTAATAATAGTAATACTAATAATAATGATGAAAAGAAACAAAATGGTTAGTAACAATAAAATTTTTTAAAAAAAGTTAGAATGAAAAATAAAAATTTGATTTTTAATATTAATAATAATCTAATCTTTTAAAATTGAATTATAATTAAGATCAAATCAAATTAGTTATTACAAGAAAAAAAGAGAAATTCATTTAATAATTGAAATTGTACTTTTAAATCAAAGTTGTGAATTTAAATCAAATATGTTAATTTGAATTAAATTTACTAACTTAAATATTTAAATAAAAAACAAAATCAGTTATTGATGAAAAGTGCAAAGTTAATTGAAATAAATTTAATTAATAATTAGAAATAAAAATTCAATTTCAAATACAATTATTAATTAAAAACAATAAAAAAAAGGAAATTTGTTAGTAACAATAAAAATTAAAATAAATTTTAAAATCTATTTTAGTTTTCTATGATAATTCAATTTAAAAAATATATTTTAAATTGAATTAAAAACAAAACCAAGGATAGATTTTTAAACTAAAAAAAATCATTATAAATGTGATGAAAAATGTAAATGACAAACTATTTGTTTTTTTGAGATTTTGGAGATAACAATGCAAAAAATGTAAATTTAGACGAAACCAACAAAGACTAATAATTTTTTTTGGGATTTTTGAAGTAGAAATTAAAAGAATAAATTAAAATAAAAAAATATGAAAAAATGATCAATCTTTCAAAAGGCAAAAAATATGCACCAGTTGAAAAAGATAAGGGGCAAAAAATGGAGTGCAACAGGGGGTACCTGCAAGACACTCTGATGCCAAAATAAGGTTCAGAGTAAGTGCAAGTAACGTGTGAGAGTATGGATGAATTAATGAATACATGTCACTCTCAAGTGAGAGGGTCTTTATATCCCCCAGTATTAGACCAAAGTCTCCATATTGGGCTGACACAGCAGGCCCAGAATGAAGACTGTCAGGATCTACGTGAGTAGCGGATACCAGCACCTGGTCTCCCTCTTGAGTGGACTGCTCTAAATTACTAGAAGGACGTGGTTGCAGTATTTTCGGGGTCAAGATTACTCCAGGATATTCGGAGACGTGGGTGTCTTCCCTACGAGAAGGGTGCCAGTCAAGACCTTCTGGGAGCCGTTAACACTCCTCGACAGTCTTATGGTGAGGAAGGCTCGGGGGGCATGTCCTCGGTGCGAGGATGGAGTCGTTGCCCGACATAGTCAAGGGCAACTTCATTCTTGCTGGCCTTCGCCTGCAGCATGGTTGGATTAGGCCTATGTTGTTTGGGTCAAGCGCAAGCCCAGTCCAGAACACCATAAATAACATTGTGTGCTTATTTAGTATTCACATCACTTAACACTCGTCTATTTGTTATATAATTAATTGTATTTAAATAAATAACCAATTTTGAATATTTAATACAAAATAAATATTCTAACTAGATATGGGACAAGGTGATTGCTTGAATTTTTTTTGAATAATCACTTTTTAAAATTTTTTTATCAAATGACCATTTTTTCAAAAAAATGATCAAAGTAATCACTTTTCAAATAAATAAAAAATCGTCAAACTGAAGTCAAATCACTCTGTATGGCGCATGCATGTCAATTAGAGAGGAGGCATTAGACTGCATGACTTGTCCTCTTATGTAGTGTCATGCAGTATGACACATGCATGTTCTTTTTAAGGAGGAGACGCCATTGTAGGTGGCTTGACAGTTGTATTTGGTTTTCTATAAATACAACCACCCATATTCACCATTTTACACACCATTTCTCACATCACTCTTAGAAAATATCTTCCACTCTCTTGCCAAGGTTTTCCACTTCATTTCCAAGGTTTTAACTGATCAAAAGAGATGCACATGTTATTTTTTCGATGACAAAGCCTCCGATGAAGATCAAACTCTGGAACATGCAGACATCCGAGCATTTTCAGAGGCACTTGATTCACTGGTTGGAAGGAGACATTCCTGAAGGTGAACAAATCAAAAAATAGAAAGGCAAATTACGATGAGGAATGAAAATGGAGTAAGTCGTTCATGGAAAAATGTGAGATGCGACGCTGATGTCATGATGATGATGCTTGGACCAGACAATATTGTGTTGATGCTTTTTATCTCTTAGTATTATGTTGTGTTTAGTTGTTTTATCTGTTTATCGTGTTGTTGTGTTTTGCATAGTTGTCCTAAATTTGTCGTGTTGTAATTTTTTGGGTCATTATCTGAAGGTTGTTGTAATCAAATATTAACTTGAACACGAAATGAAAAACTGAATTTAAATTAAAATTTCTTGCTTACAACAAATTAATTACTTCAGAAAGTTTGCTATAAAAAAATTAGGTTGCAGAGCTAGACCCAATATTCGGACAATTTTTTGATTGTGTATGGGAAGATGACATGTACTGCATAATCTTATCATTTTGTTGACCGTGTCCATTTCAGTTCTAATACGAGATATGTTTCAAACATCATCATCTCCGCGCACCTTTATATGAAAAAATCTGACTTGGTTGTTGTCAAATAGAAATGGAGACTTGTAATGAATTTGGTAAACTGGACCACACTACAATTTTGTTTCTAGTCTATCTTTGAAACGTGAAAAACTTGATTTCTTGTTTGTCCTAAAGCGGATAAAATTGTTATTATGAAAATTAAAACCGAATTTATCGCAGTTGAATGTCCCACAGTTAATATGAGCAACGGTACTATAATATTGTGAATGATCCATATGTTGAGGTATATGTTTTTGTGAGTTATGCATGTATACGAGTAACGCGCCATTAACAGACGCTTAAATAGACAGATGAAAGTATGGGAAATACAACACTAATGCGCCACCCAAGAAGGTTTCTCTTCTAAAATTACAACATATGTGTCACCTAGGGTGACTTGTCCTCTAATTTTTGTAAGCATGTGCCAACTTGGGTGGCTTGTCACGTGAACGACAAGCTTGCATGCATGTCATCTGATCACTGCCACCCTGCAATGCTATCCCTGCCACACTGCAACTTTGCTTGTATGCAAAAAGGAACAAGCCATATTGAATGGCGCCTTAATGTAAAAACAAAAGGATGCACCACCTAGGGCGGCGTCTACGTGTTAACTACATACAGAGCATTCTCATGTGAATGCATAGTATTTCTCCATATTTTCCTATAAATACATATAACATTCACACTATATTTTCATCATAATCATAACTCACACTATTTCTTTCTTGAAACATCAACAAAAACACAAGAGTAATCAAGAAAAATGACTCTCTTGACCATGTGTGACCAACATAGAGGAATTCTCAACAACATTGAAACCTTTGTAAGTTTATTTTTTTCAATACCTATTATTTGTCAACAAATTTGATTTCTGTAGTTCTTATCATTGTTATACATAAGTCTTATATTTCTTATACGTAATTCATGTTTTTAATAGGATGTTAAAAGATTATGTTATCGTGTCCATGAGTATGTTCCTTACGACGTACAAATTGAACCGTACTTACGACAAGTCGGTTTTGGTCTGTTACTCAACATAGTCAATTACCATGTTAACTATAAAATTATTCTTGCATTAGTGGAAAGATGGAGACCCAAAACTCAGACCATTCATCTTTCATGTGGTGATGACCAATGGGGATTTAATGATTTGAGAGATTTCGCTAGAAATCAATGTCGTCAATGGAGGCATCGACGTGAATTGATCCTAAGGGAGCCAATTTCGCAAGATGACTTAAAACCAACTCTCCAATATTTGAGATGGTACACATCGATTTCAACAAATCTGTTTCTGCCCCATGAGACATATTTGATCGACCCATGTCAAAGAGTTGCATCATACGCCCAATAACAACCCCAATAACCAACCCCTCAATAATACCAAACCCTACAACAATGTCAACCCACTCAAACCCAACAACCATACACCACCACATCCACCCAAACCCGTCATCAATTCATGCCACACACACAAACACAATACCAAGAGCATGACCCGACCCACCAGCAACAATGCATCCTCTGCATCCCACCACAACACCGAAGACACGTATGATACCTCCCCTTCCTACCATACCACTCAACCTACATACAGTCAAACATCACACCATCGAAGCCCCCAACCATCATACAAATTTCAGACACCTCAAGAATCATTGCTTCATTTCTAAAACGACTCAACATCCCAATTCTATCAACCACCTCACCCACACATATCACAACCAACAAGACCAAATTTCAACAACATGGACACCGATCTCTTTGGAAGCACAACACAATGGGGTGAAATGATCGTGGAGATGTATGATCCTAATGTACCAAGACCATCACATCAAACACCTCATCATCAAGCGAGTCAGAACAGACCCCAAACACCTCAGGAAATTCAACAAACAATGGTGAGGCAAGGGGTAGGGCAAAGGCGATGGTGTTTATGTCATATAGGGACACGCTTAGGTTGAGAGTGACATCCGTAAAAATATGTATCTAAGCATTGTGTAATTTTAAATATTAATATAAAATATTTTTATTTACTTTTATTATTATTTTTAAAAAATTAATAACAACTGTCAAGTCATTTAAGGTGGTGCATCCACTTCAACTTACATGCATGCGTCACACTGCATGTCACTACATAGGAGGACAAACCATGCAGTGTGGAGCCTCCTCTCTAATTTACATGTATGCGCTACACAGAGTGGCTTGACCTCTGTGTGGCAAATTTTTTTTATTTGAAAAATGGTTACTTTAATAATTTTTTTGAAAAAGTAATTTTTAAGAATTTAAAAAAAAAATTGATTGCTTTATTTGAATAGACGTAAGATCATTTAACATAATATAAGTGTTATTTTCTCTAAATTCAACTATTCTTATTTGAGTTTTGAATGTCGTTTTATAGGTTTTTTATCCATACATGTTGTTTAAATTAATAAAAGGTTTTGTCTGTTTGACTTATTTTAATATTTATTTTTATTTTTAAAATTTGAAAATAACAAATTTATTTGATATTTTAATTTTATAAAATTATTTTTAAATACTATTATCTATTTAAAAGTTCAGATTAAAAATAGTACATTGATTAAAATAATTTTAAAATATCATTCAATAAAAATTTATTATTTAAACATGTTATATAATTAATTTAAAAATACCAATGTAATACGACTGAATACAAGATGAAGATTAATTAACGATTTAAAATTATTTTATTTTGTTAATATATCTTTTTTTCTTTAAAACTTTTAAAACTAACAAACTATTTTTAGCTTTTAGTTTTATAAATTATGAAAATGAGTTTAAATGAGTGAATAATATTAAAAATGAATAGATAATATTACAAACTATTATCTAATTTTCGCTAAATGGAGTCTAACATAATGAATTTAAAGACCGTTTATGATTATGATATAGATTGATAATTGAAGATTTGTCATTTTTGTAGTTTTTGTGCGTTTAGATTAGGTAATTAGAAACTTTTAAGATATTTTGAATCCTAATCATTCAAATAATTTATTTAAAATTTATTTAATATTATTATTTTGTTTAAATAAAATATTAAAACTATTCTTCGTTAAAAAATTTTTAATACAATTATATATAACGAATAGATAAACGTTAACTGTTGTGAGTACCAAATAAATACACAATGGTATTTATAGTAATTTAATAAAAATACAATATTTTATAATAATATTATTATATTTTTAATCGATTGATTTTGATTTGAAAATATTAGATGTAGTTTTTAAGAGAAATAAATAAATAGATGATAAACACACAATATTATTTATAGAAGATATTAATATTTTTTAACTTTAAAAACTTATTTAATTAATTATATTAATTAATATATTAATTAAAATATTTAAATAATAAAAAATGAAAGAAAAAAAAACTCTTTTCACCGGGACGTCCAACCAATGGACGAACCCATACATGCAGAAAATTGGGAAACCAGTTTGTCCAATCCATGAACAAACTCTTGAAGAAACTGTGGTATTTTGGCAAAAAAAATTTCAAAAGATGACAATTTGATACAAAACTTTCAAAAGTGTGGCAGTGTGGTAAAAAAAAAATCGAAAATTGTGTACATAGTGTAGTTGATTTGAGAAATTGTAAATGAGCATTTTATGGATAAGGTAAGGATCAGAATCCATGGATTGATTGAGAAGCTAAGCAAAAGTTGTTGAGAAAAACAGATCCACAACAGATTACGAAAAGTGGGAAAGAGACAATAGCAATTGACAAGACATCCCTCTCTCTTGTCCTCTTTTTCTGACAAGAAAAATTACCAAATAATCATCGTAAATTGCAAGTAAAGAGACTATAGACACCAATCACATCCCTTATCATAAATTCAACTTTTCTCAAAAATATAGATACAGCTACTCATAAACTAGCAATTCAGGTCTATAACAAACTTTTGTACATGTGTATAGTAGTAGTACTTGTACAATGCTGACGCAAGCATTAACCACATATATTAATGTACTCTACTAGTATCATTAATTAATAATTTAGCCACAAAATTAAAAAATAAAAATGCCAAAATCTTGGATCTTGTGATTACTATCATGGGTTGAAGAAGTGGTTACCACAATGACATTTCCAACCTAATGGTTTGTAATTGGAGTATCTGTTAGTACCTTGTAAAGATGGAGTAAGCCATTTTTCCATGGAGGATGAAGGGAGAGAGTCATGGACATGGTTTGGTAAAGATGGAACTTGAACCGCCATGCATGGATGACACTCGTTGCATTTGCTGTGACAGCTTGGTGGAATTGAACCTAGTTTGTTTTTCTCCTCGTATAACAATTCCTACACATAAAATAAAAAAACACAAGTTTCAAACAAGTTTTGCATGCATGAAATCACGATGAAGTTAAAGAGAATATATAGAATAGAATGGTTTACCCTTGGTTGATAAGTTGAGCTAGAAGCTGGATGAAGGAAATGATGGAGAAGAAGTATGATAAAGAAGGTAGTGGAGTAGTGATGTGAATTGAGTGAAGCCATGAATGCATATTAGGTTAGTTCAACCATTTGAAGTGAAGAAGAAGGAGAAGAAGAGTGATGATATTTAATAGTATGAGTAAGTGATTAGTGAAGTGAGATCCGAATGTGAGTAATTAAGTTTTATCGATTTGTGTTTGTGTTTAGCGTTGGAGAGAGAGAGAGAGAGGACCCCTCGTTAGCCAGTATTATAGGGCATTGAGGGATGTGGTTAAGTAGCTTTATAGAAGAACATATTTTTGTGTGTCTCTCTCTCAAAGGCAAGGCAAGAGGTGGTTAAATTTGGCATTTATTATGCTATCTAATTTTTGTCTTGGTTTTCTCTCAACACATTCATCACTTTGACTACACACTGGATTTCATATTTTAACTAGAGAATTACATATGGGAATGTACCACATTTGAAAATAATTTGACTCGTACTGCCTCGTAAAAACGTAAATTCAACTATGTAAAAACTGCTAGTTTATCACCTTATTAAATGATACTATTTGGAAGTACTAATATACTTATTAAAATTGGATAATAATAACAATAATAATAATAATAATAATAATAATAATAATAATAATAATAATAATAATAATAATAATAATAATAATAATAATTAATATCCAATTTTAGAATTAACATAAAATAAAAATATATAATAATTAAATAAATAGAAAGGAAACTATAAAAATTAAAAATATCTTTAATTTTGACTCCAAAAATTATTAAGAGATTTAACAATTTTAATATATAAAATTATTTATTTAACTTTAGAATTAACTTAAAATAAATAAATATAATAAATAAATAAATAAAAAGTTACAAAAAATACTCACTCTAAAAATTATTAAGAAACTTAACAACTTTAATATATAAGATTATTATTATCCAATTTTAGAATTACCGTAAAATAAACAAATATAATAAATAAATAAAAAAGAAGTTACAAAAATACCTTCAGTTTTGACTTCAAAAATTGTAAAGAGGCTTAACAACTTTAATATATAAGATGAATTAAATATTTATATTTTAAAAATGAAATTAATTTTGTTTTATAAACAAAAAATATATATTGAAGAATATATAAGAAATACTCGATCAAATATAAAGAGAAAAGAAGGAAACAAACAAATTAACACTAACTCACATTCACCGAACTAATCCACAATAAAGGATTATCAAGTCCAATCTAACAAATTAGAATGGATAGAACCAATACATCTAATTTTAAACCATTCCCAAAAGCGAATTTTAACGAAATGAATTATCTTCTTCTCAACTAGAAAATTCTCTTAAAAAAATATATCATTCCTAGCCAACCATAAACTCCAAACAACTGAAAACCAAAATAACATTTTGAAATCCTTTTAATTCTACTTGATACTAGAATTTCAAAATTGAAAAGTGGTGTAAAAATGAAATAGAAGTAGGAAATCCTTCAAAGTTGATTCAAACCAACACCAAAAGCCAAATATGAGAAGAAATAGGGCAGTATAAAAAGAGATGAACAATTGTTTCTTCATGATGAAAACAAAAAGGGTCGGCAAACCAGTTCACGAGGGCTACTTGTTAGAACAAGCACAAAATCTTGTATGTGAATCAATGGAGATGATGGATAATTTTGATGAAATTAGAGGATTGGGGAAGATCAAGTTTAGAGAGAATAGAGATTAATTGAGAGGGTAAAAAATCATATGGCATTAATTCCATTCAACATGTTACAAAATGTATATATAGTGCCTGCTAACACTAAACAAAGTAACAAAACAAAAGCTAAACAAAACAGCCTAAAAACAGAAATAATTTTTTCGGTTTTTCCTGCAGCATACTGGCAGCTTTTCCAAAATAGCTTCTCAAATAAGTTATTCTCCAAAAACACTTCGAAACCAATTACACTGCATTTGACTTATTCTAATCATTCAATACACCACCTTAAGTCAAATGCTCAATGTTCTTCATGCCCAACCTCACCACGAGTCGCTTGAAAACATCATTCGTAACCGCTTTCGTCAACAAGTCCGCGACCTGTTCTTCACTTCTGCAGTAGCTCAAACGTAACTGTCCATAACTTACTAAATCTCTCAAGTAATGGAATCTCATCTCAATATGCTTGCTCCTCCCATGTGCTATGGGATTCTTAGCAAGGTTGATGGCTGAAACATTGTCCACCAACAGCAGAACAGCTCCTCTCGTGTTGCTGTCCAGCTCACGCAGCAGGTTCACTAGCCACACAGCTTGGCATGCACATAACGAAGCTGCGATATACTCCGCCTCACAAGAAGAGAGAGCAACCACCGGCTCCTTTTTAGAACACCAAGAGATTGGTGCTCCTCCGAACATAAAAACATAACCGGCCGTTGATTTCCGATCGTCCTTATCTCCACACCAATTGGAGTCGGTGTATCCGAGTAATTCGCAACTTTTGCCCATGTCACTTGCAGGAAATAAAATCCCACAGCCAAGAGTACCTTTCACATATCTAAGGATCCTCTTAACCGCTTCCAAGTGTGATACCTTCGGCCTCTCCATGAACCTACTTGCAATACCGACACTAAACGCTAGATCTGGCCGCGTATTGCACAAGTAACGCAATGATCCTATCAATCTCCGGTATTGAGTAGGATCCACATCTTGCTCATCTTCATTCTTGGACAGCTGTAAACGTGCCTCGGCTGGTGTTGTGGCAGCATTACAATGCTCCATATCACACCTCTTCAAAATCTCCATTGCATACCTTCTTTGATGCATGAGCAGTCCCAACTTTGTTTTTTGGAACTCTATGTCTAAGAAGTATTTCATAGAGCCAAGATCACTCATTTCAAACTCCCCCATAAGCTCTTCTTTGAACTTTGAAATGTACTTTTCACAACTGCCCGTAATCAACAAATCGTCCACATAAAGACAAAGTATGATTACTCCTTTACTTTTATCCGACTTCACATACACACCGTGTTCGGATACGCACTTCTTGAAACCAATGTTGATAAGAAAAACATCTATGCGTTTGTTCCAAGCTCTTGGAGCTTGTTTCAAACCATAGAGTGCCTTCCTTAATTTGTAGACCCTTTCCTCTTGATTTTGTATCACAAAACCAGGTGGCTGTCCAACATACACTTCCTCATCCAATGGACCATTCAAAAACGCCGATTTGACGTCCATTTGATATAACGACCAACTGTTGTTATTTGCAATCGCAACAACTAACCGGATGGTTTCATGCCTTGCAACCGATGCGAATACCTCATCAAAGTCTATGCCTTCTTTTTGCAAAAATCCCTTTGCTACCAATCGAGCCTTATGCTTGATTATCTCGCCTTTCGGATTTGCTTTTACTTTATAAACCCATTTCACACCAATCGCCTTTTTACCTTTCGGTAAATCAACCAACACCCAAGTATTGTTCTTCTCAATCGATTTCAACTCTTCCTTCATTGCACACATCCATTTTGGATCGCTTAATGCCTCCTCCGTATTTACCGGTTCGGATTCGGCCATTAAAGCGAAATGAATAAGATCACCATCATTGTTGATCTCACTATCTCGGAACAGTTCACAATCTCGGAGTCTTTGAGGCATACCTCTATGCCTTGTTGGTCTACCCTCATTCACAACATTGTTTTCAGCTGCTGTAGGTGCTGGTACAGCGGCATCAGACAACTCCGGATCAGAAATTTCAAAAAACTGCTGCTGCTGATTTTCTGCTGCTGTTTCTGCACTTTTGATTTCATCAAAAGTCACGTCCCGGCTTATCACGATCTTCCGATTCTTCTCATCAAACAGCTTGTAACCACCAGTAGAGTGATATCCAACAAATATCAACTTCTCACCTTTATCATCCAACTTCTTTCTAAGTTGATTTGGTACATGACGATATGCAATCGATCCAAAAACACGCAAATGAACCACACTCGGTTTGAAACCACTCCAAACCTCTTCCGATGTGATTTTCTCCAGCTTCTTAGTAGGACACCTATTCAACAAGTAGGTGGCTGTAGATACGGCCTCACCCCACAATTCTTTAGGTAACTTCTTCCCACAAAGCATGCTACGCACCATGTTCATTATTGTACGATTTTTCCTCTCGGCAGCCCCGTTTTGTTGAGGCATATATGGAGGCACCACCTCACGCACAATACCCTAAAGATCACAAAACTTCCCAAATTCACTAGAGGTATATTCACCTCCACCATCCGTTTTGAGAATTTTGAGCTTCCGGCCGCTTTGACGCTCCACCATGGATTTGAAACTCTTGAACACTCCAAATACCTCATCCTTTCTCTTGATAAGATAAGTCCAAAGCTTCCTACTAAAATCGTCAATAAACGTAACAAAATATCGATTGCCGCCATAAGTCTCTACTTGCATCGGTCCACAAACATCGGAATACACCACCTCAAGTAAGCCTTTGGTTCTTCGACCCGCATCCTTGCTAAACACATTCTTGTGTTGCTTACTCTTCACACATTCCTCACATAATTCTGTCGGAACACTAATATGTGGCAGCCCCGTTACGATTTCACTTTGTTGCAACATTTTAAGATCCCTAAAGTTTAGGTGACCAAGACGGTAATGCCATAACCACTCATCTCTACTTGCCGCGGTAGCTAAACAACGATGTTCCATAACCTTTAACTCAACCTTAAAAGTTCTATTGGCAGCCATCGGCGCTTTTAGAATCAACACACCATTTGAATCTAAAACGCGTAACATCTTATTCTCCAATCGAATTAAGTACCCTCTTTCAAGCAATTGGCCAATGCTTAAAAGATTGCACTTAATTCCCGGTATGTACAAGACATCTTTGATCCTAGAGTGTCCACCATTCTTTCTTCCGATCAAAACATCTCCTACCCCTTCGGCGCTTAAAGTAGTGTCGTCGGCAAACTTGACTTTACTCTTTGTCACTTGATTGATTTGCACAAACCAATCCTTTCGACCCGTCATATGTGTTGAACAACCGGAATCCAAGTACCATTCATCTTTAATTTGGACTCCCTCACGCACGGTAACTA